ACTCATGGCATCACAACAAATGCACCTCCGCTTCCTTCTAAGTGCACATGTGTTGTGTGTGTATATATAGCTATACTCCACTCGGAGTGTAACTTGCTGCGGTGATTTCTTCATGCTCAGAGAACTGCTTGAGCAGATTTCTTCCGTTTTCAAGCCAGGGGCCAGTTCAGGTTTGTGGTGAATCTCTTGCTTCTTCTTGTGGTCACGCCGGGGTATGTCGGCTGCCAGAGGAACTTCCTTCTGGACTGGCCCGCTCAGGCACCCCCAGCAGTGAGGATGCTACCTTCAGGGTCTTTTGCTGTTTGCTGCAGTGTTAGCCCCCAGAGTGCAGTAAGACTGTAACCTACCGGCCCACCTTTTGTCCTCCGAAGGCCCTTCCAGCAAAACCGGAAAGAACAAGCTATGCAAGTGGCAAAATTTTATCCAGTGCCTGCTATGTGCTAGGCATGAGAATGAAAAGAGGCAGTTCATGTAAAGTATCGTTTCTGCTGCTGTTATTTTGTGTTAAAATATTAACTTCTTAATACTAAGACAAGAGTAAAACATTGTGATTAGGAGCTCAGCGCTGGAGCGACACTCGTTCAGATTCCACACTGGTATGCTGTTGAGCTTCAGGCAAGTCACTTCACTTCTTCAGGCCTCAGCTTGCTTATCTGCAAAATGGAGCTGACTAGAGTCCCCATCTCATAGGTTATACTACAGAGTACTGCCTGGCAGTACTGTTATCTTAATCATTTAATGCATTATAAAGGTTCTAATTTCACTCTAGAATGGTTGCTCAAACCCTCCTTCCTATCAGTCGATTCATAGATCATATTAAGCTTCTTCTATTGTTGTTGTTGTTGTTTAGTCGCTCAGCCATGTCTGACTCTGTGCGACCCCATGGACTGCAGCATGCCAGGCTTCCCTGTCCTTCACCATCTCCTGGAGTTTGCTCAAACTCACATCCGTGAGTTTGATGGCATCAGTGATGCCATCCAACCATCTCATCCTCTGTCGTCCCCTTCTCCTCCTGCCCTCAATCTTTCCCAGCATCAGAGTCTTTTCCAATGAGTTGGCTCTTTGCATCAGGTGGACAAAGTATTGGAGCTTCAGCATCAGTCCTTCCAATGAACATTCAGGATTGATTTCCTTTAGGATTGACTGGCTTGATCTCCTTGCTGTCCAAGGGACTCTCAAGAGTCTTCTCCAGCACCACAGTTTGAAAGCATCAGTTCTTCAGTGCTCAGCCTTCTTTGTGGCCCAGCTCTCACATTCGTAATGACTGCTGGAAAAGCCATAATTAGGGATAAGGGAACCCACACTGGACATGGCCTCATTTCTGGGAGGGGCCTTCTAAGAGAGTGAAGGAGGTCAGTTCAAGGGCAGAGTGAATTGGACCCCCAAGAAGACACAGCTGGTGGTGAGATGACAAGACAACGTGGCCTCTAGTTTACTTGTGAGAGTGTCAGCGGACACACAGAGGATGCAGGAGAATGTCCAGTGACTGGACCGCCAGACGTTCTCCTGAGCCTGTACAAGTGTGCCTGCCTGGCCCAGCCCAGTGGCTCCTCCTTAGCGGGGCAGTAAATGCTCCGGCCTGGGTTTCCACAAACTCTACCTGGTACTGCTTCTGTGACCTGGGATGGCTTCCCCAACCTCCTGAGCCTTCACTTGACCCAAATATTAAATGTGGAAAATTCTTAGGGTTTCATGCGACATCAGGGAGGTAGAGGGCTTAGTGCAGGGCCAGTCGTACTGCAAGGGCACAGCGGTGGGAGAGTCATCCGTGTGAGGATGGGGAGGGTGAGAACTTCACATCCCACCGTCCAGCTCCACGTCCAGGAGGTGGGAACCCTGGGACCTCGGGTCCAGCTCATGACATGGTAGAGACAGAAGCCATCTGCGTCGTCCTGGGGTCGCCAGGGAGGCGAGGGGCTTAACTCAGTCTCCCAGGTTTTCCACTGTCTTCCTTCTGATTTCACCCATGCAAATCAAGTCCAGTCCCTGGGACAAGAGAGAGGGGGTGGGGTGGAGGGAACGAAGCTGAGGTACCTGGATGGTGTAAACATCTCAGATCACCCACCCACACGACCAGGGTCTTCGCTCAGAAGGAGCCATCACCTGATGGCCATGACTTCCAGAGAGCGCGCCTCCCATCCACATCCCTGGGGAGCAAGCCTGGCACTCGGGAGCTTTACACGCATCTGTAGCAATCTCCTAGGGACAGAAAACTAAGGTTTTGCTCTATTCAGACTTTAACCGCATGTGTTCACCCCTGTTTTCCTCATGGTCCTATGATATATAAATTTCATTCAGCCACCAGGCTCTCCCCATCCTTACCCTGGACAGTTTCATTTTGCTATCAGCTCTCTCTCTACATTCGGGACTTACTGGGTAATGATTGTGTCATTTGCTCCTTACTTTCAGTGTTTTTTTCCTTTCTCCTTCTACATAATGATATCTTATTTCTTGTGATTTAATTGTTCTCTGAAATCCTAATTATATTAGTAATTTAAGGGAAAAGAATATTATATTTTCATGATTTTCAGGAGTAGTTCTATTTAAAGAATTCTTTGCTGAATCAGAGCCCTAATTATTAATGAATAAACATTTATTTTACTTTAGCAAGTTTTTTTTGTAATCATGAAACAGAGTCAATGGCTTAAGCTTTGCCTGAAATGTGCCTTGAAGAACTCAGATCTGTTTTATTCAGAAGATCTCAGGAGTGTTCCCTGTCACAGAACAGCATAAACAGCTTTGTACAACTAGGTAGGACCTGGTCCCCAGTCGTCTCTGATCCTTGCCAGGGATCGTTTGAGATGCTGGGATGGAAAACAGCCTCTGCCATCAGCGAATCTCCTCGAGAATCCAGAAGGGCTGGCATGGCCCTGCAGGCAGATGAATGAGGGCAAGGGATGAGTGTCTGGAGAGGGGAGGTGGGTGCTCGCCCCCCACCCGGTGACCCCCTCCCCTCACCAGGGAGCTGCCATCGGAGCCTCCAGACAAACAATTCCTCCCTGCATTCAGGGACCTCATATGGCCTGGTGGAAGCAGATATACAAGCAAATAACTACAGAAGCAGTTCTATTTCAAGAATTTATTAATAAAGTTTAATAGACCAGTGACGACTTTGAAAGAATGGCAGAAGTTTCTATTAAAACTGGCCTCAGAACTGAGTCTTAACGATCTTGTAGGATTTCAGGAAGAGGAAAGAGCACACATAGACAATTGTGGTATGCAATTGAGTGGTGTGTTTGTGGTCCCTCAAGTTCCAAGGAGGAAGTGGACAAGAATGAGGAGAGAGGTACGCAGAGGCCAGGTCATCAACAGCCTTATAGGATGTGCTAAGGAGGGTGATGTTTACCCAGGAGGCCAAGGAAAACCAATGTGGTTGAGGAAGAAGGTAAGAATATTAAGAACAAGTGATTCAGGAATGATTTGGAAATCCCTGACTATCCATGGTTAGGAGTCCCCACCTCCACTGCAGTAGGTATTGGTTCAATCTCTGGTCAGAGAACTAAGATCCTGCAAGTCAAATGGTGCAGGCAAGAAAAAGGGGGGAAAGAAAGAAAAAGAAATGATTCAGCAGTGATTAGAATACAGTCAATATGAATTCAATAGTAAATTATAGGATCGAGTTTGGGGCTTAATAACCAATAAGACAACTTGGATTCATTGCAATCAGCTGTCACTTAGGATAGGCAATTTTCCATTTAAACTCTGCATTTCTTACCAATCATCCCACTTTCCACCAAGGAGCAATACCTTTTGGTTCAGAGAACCTAGTTGACTGATTCCCAGCCAGGGACCCATGAATGCGATAATAGGAGTCTATAAGCCAATTAATAGTTGAATAAACACCAACCAGTTATACATATACCTGCAGTAAGGCTGCACAGATGCAATAAAATGCTATGCTTCTCTGTTTTCTCCAGGAATTATATCAAGTTGTTGTAGCAACTGGTTATCTTAGGCAGCTTAGCTATTCAGGGCATCATGAAATGTCTTGATGAAATATTGTTTTAAAACATGAGTCCATGTTGGGGGGTAAGGTATTGTAACTAAAAAGACTTCTGATTCTGAAAAGTCTAGACATCCAGCTTAGGTGATAAGTGTGTTATGTTTGAAACATAAAGAACTTAGGTAGCTAATTGAGCAGTATTCTGCAGAAATAATTTATGAAGCCAATTTTCATAAATTTCTACACAAATGTACATTTCCTTAGAGAGAATTGAGTTTTGTGGCATATCTGCATCTCCAAAATGCATATACCTATATAAAAGACCATTTTGACAACATTTATATTTTATACGGTGGTTAACACCACCCTATATCTTGGACCACTGGCGGGGGCGGGGGTTGTCACATGAGAAGGGTAGAATTGCATTTTGACTTTTGATTTTAATTCAGGGTTTCAGTGGACTTTAAAAAGGTGCAAGAATTAGTATTAATATTTAGTCTCTTTTGTAGTGGATTTCCCTGGTGGCTCAATGGTAAAGAATCCGCCTGCCAGTGCAGGAGACACAGGTTTAGCCTCTCGGTTGGGAAGATCCCCTGGAGGAGGAGATGGCAACCCACGCCAATATTCTTGCCTGGAGAATCCCATGGACAGAGGAGCCTGGAGGGCTGCAGTCCAAAGAGTTGGACATGACTTAGCGACTAAACAACAACTGTTTTGTAATGTGTTTTTCTACCCTCTGGCAACCCACTCCAGTACTCTTGCCTGGAAAATCCCATGGATGGAGGAGCCTGATAGGCTACAGTCCATGGGGTCACAAAGAGTCGGACACGACTGAGCGACTTCACTTCACTTTCTACCCTCAGGGTGTGCCTCACAGCAGATAGTTCACATAACTTCAGGCTTTCCTGTTACATTTCTGCAGGTGCAAGAACCTAAAATAACTTCATGCATGACTTTCTTCCCCCGCCATTTCCTCTGTATACTAGTGAGCTGTTTGGGTAACTTCTTTTAGTGAAGTTACAAAGATTAATATCTAATACATTGATCTTACAGAATTATGAAGTTTCATGTTGCAAAACGGAAGTTTAAGGAAACATTGAGCCCATACGATGTAAAAGATGTCATTGAACAATACTCCGCTGGTCACCTGGACCTGCTGTGTAGGATTAAAAGCCTGCAGACACGGTGGGCACCTGGAAGGTCACATGTTCTAAGGGGGCAGGCGCAGAAAATGTCTGGGGTCACCTCTCCATAGTAGCCAAGATTCTTGAATTCCTTGTTTCTGACTCGTTCTTGGTGGACAACCGGACTTCTGTGTTAAAATATAGACTCTATTTAAATATAAATCAGGCACTAAAAACCTTTAAGTATGGGTAGTGTCTAGTGTCTCATCTGTGGAAATGGGGGTGTTGGCGGTGGCCGCAGATGCCCATTGTGGGACTGCGTGAGTTAAAGCGGGGGCCTGCGTGCTTGTGCAACGGTCCAGGTGGCTGCTGATGTCATTTTGCTATTGCCTGAATCCTATGTATCCTTCAGAAATAAGCTAGTCTTTCTCCTTCTTAAGCCTGACCCACCGTCCAGCCTACAAAGACAGACCTCTCCCTCCTCTGATCCTGTGTGGCATGCAGAGGCCCCTGCAGGGCGCCATCATGCCCCTCACGCTGGGATCCTGCACTCAAGAGTCCAGGCAGACAACCTGAGGTTCTCAGAGCAGGGCTGGCTCCTGCATTTTTTCCCGGGGGCACATCTGTTCCCCTGGCCCTGAACCAAGCCTGGGCCCGTCCCTTCATCCCTGTTCTGCAACAGGCTGGATACACACCATCTTTCCAGTAAGCATCCTCTCGAGTGGCTGGAAGAAATGAGTATGTTACTCTAAACATGTGCTTGATTGTGTTATCTTGAAGCCAAAATATTTAGTCAGTTCAGTTTCTCTTGCTTCATAATGAGGCCCAAATTTCCAGCCTGGTAATTGAATAGTTCTTAAAAAACAGGGACTGAGTCTTCAACACGTGTTCATACACACGGCATACTTAGCACAGTGTCAGGCGTATACTAGGCCCTCAGTAAAACACCTGTTGGCTTCTAAAACCTTAGTTATGAAAATAACAAGTTTTTCACCTATTCATTAACGTACCGGGCACCCTGGACACCCAGAGATGAACAGATAAGCCAGTCCTGGTGGAGCTTGCATTGGAGTAGATTAAACATCATGGTTGCCTGTACTTTTGTGTGCACAGAGTAAGCTGGAAAGTGGAGTCAGTATTCCTGATAATTCAGCTCTAAAACACACAAAAAGGAAGAAATTAATTCCAACATAGACTGATCAAGTCTCCTTGGAAATTGTTTTAACTCACCTGTGATCCTCTTACAACCTCTGCCCAAGTGGCCAAGGTCTTCCAAGTCTTCACTAGGACTCCCAGTGGGTTTTTTGTTTGTTTGCTTGCTTGCTTTGTTCTATTTTATTTTTTTTAATTTTTTAACTTTTTATTTTATGTTGGAGTATAAACAGTTAACAATGTTGTGATAGTTTCAAGTGGCGAGCAGAGGAACTCAGCCATACATATACATGTATCCATTCTCCCCCAAACTGCCCTTCCATCCAGGCTGTTTTTATTTTTTTCTTCTTAACTTTTTAAGTTTTAATTTTTGTTTTTTTATTACAAATGTAATTTGTTTTATTTTTCTTCATAGGGATAGGGTCACTAGTTAAAATACACTGTCAAATCTGCACTTTAAATTCCATATTGCAATTGTAGAAATAGTTTATATAAATGGCATCCATAAATCATTTAAAGCAAAGGTTGAATGTAAATTAGGATCCTGTTATTTATTTCTATGATTATTTATGGTTTTCTGGTAAAGTTTTATTTATCTGAGGGTGAAGGAATTAATGTTTTTGAATGTGAAATATCTTTAAACTTAAAATTGATACTTTCCATAAATCAGCTGACCAGGAGAGACTGCCAAAGCATTACAAACAGCAGCGTTTCCACTTAACATATGTTTGCTCAATGTTTTTTATTGTTTGTTTATTTTTATTGAAATATATTTAACTTACCATGTTGTATTAGTTCCAGGTGTGCCACACAGTGATTCACTTATACGTGCATATACGTCTACTGTTTTCAGATTCTTTTCCTTTATGAGTGTGTGCTAAGTCGTTTCAGTCATATCCAACTCTTTATGACCTTATGGACTGTAGCCCACCAGGCTCCTCTGTCCATGGGATTCTCCAGACAAGAATACTGCAGTGGGTTGTCATGCTCTCCTCCCGGGGATCTTCCTGACCCAGGGGATCGAACCCACATCTCTTACATCTCCTGCATCGGCAGACAGTTTTTACTACTGGCACCATCTGGGAAGCCTCTTTTTCTTTATAGGTTGTTACAAAATATTGAGTATAGTTGCCTCCCAATGTTTCTATAAAGTTCAACCACTACAGAATTTGCAGAGCTAATCTGGAGTTTCTCACTTACGTGGTGTATATATACTCTTCAACTAGAATCCCCAGGATGGAGCTCTCTCATCTCCACATATCAGATATATAATAAATGTTCACTTAAATGACCTGTTCTACTCAGTTCAGTTCAGTTGTTTAGTCATGTCCGACTGTTTGTGACCCCATGGGCTGCAGGCACGCCAGGCCTCCCTGTCCATCACCAACTCCTGGAGCTTACTCAAACTCATGTCCATTGAGTTGGTGATGCCATCCAAACATCTCATCCTCTGTCATCCCTTTTTCCTCCTGCCTTCAATCTTTCCCAGCATCAGGGTCTTTTCCAATGAGTCAGTTCTTTGCATCAGATGGCCAAAGTATTGGAGCTTCAGCTTCAACATTAGTCCTTACAATGAAATATTCAGGACCGATTTCCTTTAGGATGGACTGGTTTGATCTCCTTGCAGTCCAAGGGACTCTCAAAAGTCTTCTCCAATATCAAAGTTCAAAAGCATCAATTCTTTTGGTACTCAACTTTCCTTATAGTTCAGCTCTCACATCCATATATTGCTACTGGAAAAACCATAGCTTTGACAAATGGACCTTTGTTGGCAAAGTAATGTCTCTGCTTTTTAACATTCTGTCTAGGTTGGTCTTAGCTTTTCTCCCAAGAAGCAAGTGCCTTTCAATTTCAGGGCTGCAGTCACTATCTGCAGTGATCGTGGAGCCCAAAAAATAAAGTCTCTCACTGTTTCCATTGTTTCCCCATCTATTTGCTATGAAGTGTTGGGACTGTATCCATGATCTTAGTTTTTTGAATGTTGGGTTTTAAGCCAACTTTTTCACTCTTCTCTTTCATTTTCATCAAGAGGCTCTTTAGTTCTTCTTCACTTCCTGCCATAAGTGTGGTGTCATCTGTAAATCTGAGGTTATTGATATTTCAGCAGTCTTGATTCCAGCTTGTGCTTCATCCAGCCCAGCATTTCACATGATGTACTCTGCATATAAGTTAAATAAGCAGGGTGACAATACACAGCCTTGACGTACTCCTTTCCCGATTTGAAATCCATGACTTGTTTCATGTCCAATTCTGACTGCTGCTTCCTGACCTGCATACAGATTTCTCAGGAGGTAGGTCAGGTGGTCTGGTATCTCCATCTCTTTCAGAATTTTCCAGTTTGTTGTGATCCACACAGTCAAAGGCTTTGGCGTAGTTAATAAAGCCCAATGTTCTGTTCTATTAACATGAAATAATTATGATTTTGTCATATTTTAAGTGACTGAATTCACGAAATGCCTGATCAGAGGTGGAAACAGACAAATTACTTTGTAGGTTAGGACAAGTTTGCCTCCAGAAGCTCAGTCATAATAGATTTCATCGTGGACTAGAATAATGAGAAAATTAACCTTGTGTAATTTTCACATGAAGAAAATAAGCACCTCAAGTGGAAGAAGTTCATTTTATTTCTTCTTATGTAGATCAGAGATAATTGCATTTTTCTTTCCAAAACACTTCCTCTGGCTTAGGGCAGCCTCCACCTTTCGCACTCATAACCAGATCTCTCTTTCTGATAGTGTGGATCAAATTCTTGGAAAAGGACAAATCACGTCATACAAGAAGAGCAGAGAGAAAATAACCACAGAACACGGGGCCGCGAATGACCTCAGTATGCTCGGCCGGGTGGTCAAAGTTGAAAAACAGGTACAACTCAACTAAACTGCCTGTGTTTTTAGGCAGACTTTTTTTTTTCTAGTTTACTGCGATATAATTGACATATATCCCTGTATAACTTTAAAGCATATAACCTAACGGTCTGACCTACACGTACTCTGAATGATGACCACAGGAAGCTTAGTCAGCATGCATCATCTCACAGAGACACACATAAAGGAAGGCACAGAAAAACAATTATTTTCCTTGTGACGAGAACTCTTAGAATCTGTCCTCTTAACGCCTTTCCTGTGCATCACACGGCAGTGTTAGTATAGTTATCACTTTGTGCATCACATCCCAGCACTTGTTTTTCCATAACTAGAACCTTGAGTTTCCCGGCCACCCTCCTCTGATTTCCCTCCCTCCAGCCCCTGCCTCTTGCAACCACAAGTCTGATCTTTTTTCCTATGTGTTTGGGAATTTTTCTTTTTGTCGTATTTTGTTTTAGGTATATTAACTGGTGTCGTCCAGTATTCACCTTTCTCTGTGTGATTTATTTGACATAGCATAATGCCCTCAGGGTCCATCCATGTTGCTGCTAATGGCAGGATTTCCTCATTTTTTTTTAATGGCTGAATAATATTCTATTGTATATACATGTACACCACAACTTATTTATCCATTGATCTGCCATGGATACTTGTTTCCATGTTTTGGCTGTTGTAAGTGGTGCCTCTATGAATACAGGGTGCAGATATCTCTTTGAGTTAATTTCTTGTTTCCTCTGGGTATGTGGCCAAGAATGGAATTGCTGGATCATGTGGTGGCTCTATTCTTAATTTTTTAAAGGGATCTCCATATTGTTCTCCATGGTGGTTGCACCAATTTACCCTCCCAGCAACAGTGAGGCAGGGTCCCCTTCTGTCCATATCCTCTCCAGCATTGTTATCTCTTGTCTTTTTGATGACAGCCATTCTAATAGGAGTGAAGAAGCCAGAATATTTTTTAATCAAAATTGATTATAAGCAATTGGGTATATTTTAGTGATTGATTTTAAAAGGAATAAAATCAAGAAAGAGCAAATAAATTTTCTTCATGCATAGACCATGTTCTCCAAAACACTTGAATTTCTGTGTAAGGAATAGAAAATTGCCTCTCATCAATTAATACTTGAACTTCAAACACCTATGGATTTCAACAGTAGAATAATAAAGTCTATTTTTTTAAATTTGTGTTTTGGTTATTTTCATTCTCTCTTTTGGGTCATTCTTAAAAACAAACAAACAAACCACACATTTTAACTGGTGACGGACTGAATATTTGTTGACACTGAGAGTATCTTCTCATACAAAGACAATTTTTAGAAGTCAAAATGCTCCTCTGATTTAATTATAAACATGCCAAGCATTTGATACCTGTATTTTAAAATTTAGAATTGCCTAGATTGACCTAGGGTTGGGGTGGGGGGGCGGGGAATTGTATTGTGTTTTGTTTTTTGTGTTGTTTTTTTTTTTTTTTTTTTTTTTGCGGGGTGGAACGGGTGGATCTTAGCTCCCAGACCAGAGAGTCAACCTGTGTCCCCTGCAGTGGAAGCGCAGAGTCCTAACCACTGGACCGCTAGGGGAGCCCTCATATCTAGGTCTTGATTTCTTAACAGAATCAGCTCCCTGCTGCAGAGTAGAGTCCGGGAATGTCCTCATGGAAGGGGCTGAGGAAAGGCAACCTGATGGCCAGGGGGATCTGAAGTTGCCTTTGTAAAGGGGCTTATACGGTCTTCGAAAACATCAAGTTTAAAGAATGGGAGGAGAATGGTTCCGGTGAAAACGAGGCAAAGGCCAGAGCATCCGCCCCCAAGACCTCCCTTCCCATCCCCTCGGCTGGACCCTGCGTCCCAAGCGGGTCCTGAGTCGAGGCCGCGAAATGCCAGACGCCCGGGGCCTGCCGAGGGGTCGCGGCCTAACTTCACTCCTTAGACCCTGTGAACAGGTGCCCGTTTTCCGCTTTCTGTGAACAGGTGCCCGTTTTCCGCTTTCTGTGAACAGGTGCCCGTTTTCCGCTTGCTGTGAACAGGTGCCCGTTTTCCGCTTTCTGTGAACAGGTGCCCGTTTTCCGCTTGCTGTGAACAGGTGCCCGTTTTCCGCTTCCTGTGAACAGGTGCCCGTTTTCCGCTTTCTGTGAACAGGTGCCCGTTTTCCGCTTCCTGTGAACAGGTGCCCGTTTTCCGCTTCCTGTGAACAGGTGCCCGTTTTCCGCTTCCTGTGAACAGGTGCCCGTTTTCCGCTTTCAGGTCCAGTCCATCGAGGCCAAGCTGGACTGCCTGCTGGACATCTACCAGCAGGCGCTGCGGAAAGGCTCCGCTCCGGCCCTCGCGCTGGCCCCCTTCCCGAGCCCGCCCTTCGAATGTGAACACACGTCGGACTACCAGAGCCCGGGCCACGCCCGGGACCTCTCGGGCCCGGCGCCGGGCGCCGGCCTCCCGCGCTCCGCCAGCGCGGGCCTGGCGCGGGGCCTGCAACTCATCCTGGCGCCCGGCGAACTGGGCGCCCAGGCGCTCTACGCGTTCAGCCCCGCGCCGACGCCGGCGCCCGGGAGCCCGGGGGACGGCCCGGCGGCCCCGCGCGGCCTGGCTCCCCCGGCGGCGGCGGGCGCGGCCCGGCCGGCGGCCCCCGCCACCCTGCAGATACCGGCCGCACTGCCGGCGCTCGGGCCGCTGCCCCACGCCGGCGCCCCGGAGGCGCTCCCCGAGCTCAGCGCCCGCCTGGCGGCCGCCAAGGACCGCCTCCCAGCCAAGGAGCGCGCCCTGCGCCAGAGCCTGGACCTGGGCGGGGCGGCCCTGCTGTCGGTCCGGCCCGCGGTGCCCCAGGACCCGGGCCGATCGGTGTCGGCGCAGAGCCTGGCCCGGCCCACCGAGGACCTGGACGTGCAGCTGGCGGGGAGCGAATCCAGCGGCTCCAGGGGCAGCCAGGAGCTTTACCCCAAGTGGCGGGAATCCAAGCTGTTTATCAGTGATGAAGAGGCGGCGGGTCCGGACGACGCCGGGACGGACGCCTTGGACGCGGTGCCGCCGGCGCGGGAGCCCGCCCCGGCGCCGGACTCTCTCAGGACTGGACGGTCGCGATCATCTCAGAGCTCGTGTCCGGCGGCGGGGGGCGCCGATGCCCTGGGCCGGCCGCACGTGAGGCTGAAATGAGGCTTCCGAGTGCCCCCCACCCCGGGGCCCGGCCGCCCCTTAGCCATACACATCGCTGCATGAACTCTCTGGAAAGCCCTTCTCCAAGGTTGAACCCACAGAAATCAGGAAGAACATGAAAGGCAGTTCCTAAGCCCGTTATCTTTCAATTGCATGAAAATGCATGTTTAGGGGATGCTGAACTCCAGGGTACGACATTGCCCCTCACTCAGTAAGGTACCTTGAGGCAAGAATCCCGAGACACCGACCCTGCTCATGCTGCGGGGGGTGGGTGTGAAACGTCAGAGTCAGGTCCATTAGAAGATCCAACTCTGTGTTTTGAAATGATGTCTGTCGACGCCTTCAAATGTCAGGCATTTCTGCTGGCGATAAAACGCAGAATTCATTTTCAAAATTCGGCCATAATGTACACGTGACACAGTGACCGTCATCAACAGCTGCTAACAAGGTACCCGTAACACAGAATCGGGGTATCAGACACGGCTGCCTGTTCAAGATGTAGATGCCAACCTGTCCTACCCAGCCATTTTATCATTAATGTAATTTGAATGTCAGTCTGTGTGCTTCTGGTGACTTAACGCTGTGGCCAGCAATTTTGCACATCGTTTTCGTGTTTTGTTTGTTTTGTTTTGTTTTCTAAAGACGAGAATGTTCTTCAGTTAGAAAATGTGCAAATAATGAAATTCAGGGCCAGTGGGGCGAATAGGCTGACTCTGACATCTTTGACTTCATGGAAATAAATTCCCTGACGGCTCTATCAGCTGCTACGCAAGCAACTGAGTCCCAAGGAGTAGATGGTACGTGGGGCTGGGCTGACCCGTGTGCAGTGGCCCTACCCAAGGCCTGCAAGCCGCCTACAGAAGGCCAGTGTGAGGGGCTCTTCCCACTATGCTGATAGCCAGCCAGGCTCTCCGGGAGGAGACATGAGACGGAGTTGGGAATGGCTCAGAAAGAATCCTAACACCGGGAAATCAGTGATGCTCAAGAAAACGACCTCCCTGCTCCAGGGTGATGAGAGGGAGGGAAACAAACCAAAAGAAAAGAACTTGATTTTTTTTAGAAAACAAATATTGTTAGGGAATTCAACTACCTAAACACCCCTTATTCTTATATATGAGCAGAGAGTTTTGCAAGGTATTTATTTTTTAATATGCCCTGAATGTGTTTTGCTATTATGTCATACATTTTGCATATGAAAGGCTAAAACTAAACCTCCTTTACTTTTTATACTGTAGTGGACATTTTCTATTCTCCCCAAGAATGTTGCCCGCCCCCGCTCTGAAAAATGATTGATTCAGTTTCCTGGTACAAACATATAGTCAGAAGCCAGGTAGCCCTGGCAGGGTCTGCGAATCAAAACACTGAATAATAGAGCATGGTGGCTAAAAAGCCCAAGGGAAACAAATTAAGAAATATCTCTACCAGAAAGCAAGCCAAGCTGACCACTTGTTAGCAGTCAGACTGGCGACCTCAGACCGTCAGAATTTCAGCCAAGGTAACAGCACCCCAAGGGCCAGGGGAAGGGAGAAAGCAGGTGGATTAAACTCTAGCCACAGGAAGACTTAGAAACAGTTTTCTCCTTGGCTGATATTGCTGACTCCAGGATAACTTTTCCAGCAGCCAGGGCTGCTGTCAACAGCTGCCCAAAGGCGGGACGAGGCCCTGATGCCTGCCGAGTCCCTCCCAAACTCTCTTCCCCAGCCTGCTTTCTCCACCTCAGACCCCCTGTCTTTCTCCTCCACAGGCTGTGGACTCCCTGTCTCCCTTCACCAGCCTCCCTCCCCCAAGTAAGCGACTTTTCCACTCCACCTCCTATACACAGTTCAACCCTTGTCCTTTTTTGATAAGCACTGAAATTTGGAAGGCTTCCTCCTCTCATCCCACCTGGATCCTCGCACATGCCCCTGGGGTGCATTCTTCAGGGTCTGCTTGGCTGCTGGAGACAAGTAGAAGAGAGCGCATCCATTTTACACTCCGGTTTGAAAGATGTTCTCAAACTCTTTAAGCCACTGTTTTTATTTTCAAAACATAAAATTTTAGTCAATTATTAAATGCAATGTCTCATCTACCCATGTCTCCGAATCTGTGATCCATCTTCCCAAGGAGGTTGTTCATGAGAACACAGACACACACACACACCCCTCTGCTGACCCAAAGCCAGACACACACACACACACACACACACACACACACCACCCCACCATGCCCAGCAGGCCGTCTCCAGGTATCACTTGAAGAAGAGGAAGGAACTTTCAGGTAGCAATGAGTCTCAGACATGCTCTGTCCGGGTCAAACCCCACTGGCAGCAGGAACTCTGAATGTATTGAGGACCCCGCCTTAGGCCCCATTAGGCCTCAGACACAGTCCAATCCATCTGGCATCGCTGAAGATGGAAGATTCAGAAACAAACCCAAACTGGTCACCAAGGGTTCATCACAGCCCAACGTGGTAACCATGCTGGAAGGAGCTTTCACACGCCCAAGCCATGGCCGTTCTGTGTCTGTCTGACTGCAGCACAAAACTTCTTGGATGTCGAAAGCCAGCTGTATTGTGTGAAGCTGCAGGGCTGTGTCTGCTGTGTTCCTGTCGGGGTTGCTGAGAGGGGTCTCTCCCTTACGCTTAGCAAAGCCCCTTCCGGCAGGCCCAGGCAGTGTCTCGAAGCACAGTTAGCTGAGTGCTGATCAGCCGCTGGCTTTCTCAGCCCTCGACCGTCTGCCGCCTTCGGTACTTAGGGTTGATCAAGCTAGCGCTTTATGGCAAACATCCCTTCTACGAGGTTCACTAAAAAAATTTTGCTCCGTCTGATCTAAATGTTTGCATTTTGTTCAACTAAATTAACATCTGTAGATAGCAAGTTTTGTTTAAAGTAAGACACTTGATTGAGTTTTTCAGTCTTTCTCTCTTGTTCTAAGGTGCCTTTCTCACCTCCCCTTGACTCAGTGATTCTGAAAGTTCTTAATTTGCCAGAAAACAAGTCTCACAGAGAGGAGGAAATCAGGCACAAAGTGACTCATTCTCATGCTTGTGTGCAAAGCAAAACTACAAGGAATCATGAAACTGAGCAACTAAATGAATAGGTCACTTCACCCAGATTGAGAAAATACCGTAAATGTTAACTTATCTCCCCAGAAGCTGATATTTTTTGCCTTAAAATGACATGGTTGTGTTTTTGTAAGAGAAACTTAATTTAATTATGTACATTTAAGTGAGCAGTTCTGGAAGTCACATATGACAATGCAGTTCTGTTTCCTGAAAACAAATAAATCAGGAATAGTGTATCCATTTCAAGCTACCATTCAAATGTAATTTCCTTTGCTTTCTTTTACCGGGATTATTTGTTTTAAAGTAAAACATTAAAAAGATGTCTATAAACAGTTAGTATGACTACTTTCATCTGGTACCAACTGATTGGTTCTGAACTGACTGGGTCCCAGTAGATCAAGCAGATTTGGAGTTGAAAATAAAAATAATCTTTTTTGCAGAATTCATGCTTTCAATGCAGGGGGCACAGTTTCGATCTCTGGTCAGGGAACTAAGATTCTCCATGCCTCATGGTACAGCCGAAAAAAAAATTATCTTTTCTCAATGTCAATGAAGAAATCATTGATACTCTGGGATGGGAAAGATTTGCAAATGTTGTTGAGGGTATCATAGGAAAAATTAATTTGATATCATACTGAATATTTATTTTTGTATATTTTTATACATTTTTATTTGATACATCAAAGCAGATGCCAGCATATGTGAGCCCTGTGTTAACTATAGTAAAAGGGTTTGCCAAACAAGTGATAAGAAGTGGGAACCAGCACATGCCCAAATGCTGGAGCCCCAGCTGCTCAGAATGGCCATTAACACCTATCCAGTGCTGCCCAGTGAGGGGGTGGAAAAGTGTTAGTCACTCAGTTGTGTCCAACTCTTTGCAAACCTATGGACTGTAGCCTACCAGGCTTCTCTGTGCATGGAATTCTCCAGGCGAGAATACTGGAGTGAGTAGGTAGCCATTCCCTTCTCCAGGGGACTTCCTGGCCCAGGGATCAAACCTGGGTCTCCTGCATTGCAGGCAGAGTCTTTACTGTCTGAACCCACCAAGGAAGCTGAGAAGGTGGGGGCTGTGGGAGGCACTCTCAAAAGGGATCTTACCCTTCTGCCCTAAAAAAAAAAAAAAACAACCTCCTGTTCCACTGGCAGTTTTGCACTGTGTCCATGATGAATTCCAGTGGAATTATTTGAAAGGAGGCTCAGAATGTTGTGTGCTTTCCCGGTGGCTCAAATGGTAAAGAATCGGCCTGCAATGTGGGAGACCTAGGTTCAGGTTTGATCCCTGGGTGGGGAAGATCCCCTGGAGAAGGAAACGGCAACTCACTCCGGTATTCTTGCCTGGATAATTCCATGGACAGAGGAGCCTGGCAGGCCAGAGTCCGTGGAGTTGCAAAGAGTCGGACACCACTCAGCGGCTGACACTTTCACTTTTCAGAATGTTGGAACCCTGGATCACAAAGCAAGGAAGCACTAAGAAAGATGCTTTAGATGGAGGGAGGTGAGGGAAGGGGTGCCACCTGAGGGGTCTCCCCCCCACCCCATGGCTCCGACGGGCTCAGGCAGGTCCCTGCCTATTCCATCACCTTCTGGAGGTGAAATTTAGTAGTGAAACTAACAAGTAAACATGGAATGTGCTTGCATGACCAACTCAAAAATGTACACAGCTTCCACACACTTTCACACCTATTTTAAAGCATCTCTCACCCCAGCTTAAAAGCAAAATATACAATTACTCTACCCTCATCACTTGTACAAGTAGGTTCCCAGACCTTGAAGTGGTTACTTTCATCAGCCTGGTTTCAACCACTTCAATTGCTTATTTAATTTTAAAAAAAAATTTTAATTAATTAAAATAAGACTTCACCCTCTGGTTTACCTAACTCCAAGTTACTGACATTTCCACTACATTTCAAAGCAAACTATAGGTGCATGCACTGCTCTGGAAGTCAAATAAATAAATA